AGTAGGAAGCTTGCTTCTCCCTCATCCTCTGTCCCTCCCCCTGCTTGTGCTCTCTCTCTCTGTCAAATAAATAAATAAAATCTTTTAAAATAAAAAAATAGATGGAGGTAAATAGGAAAAAGAAGAAAAAAGGGAACACAAACACAGAGTCAAAAATTGCTTATGCTGTGGTTCAAGTACTCTTTCTGTGTCATATTGAGACACAGCCATGATATATGATAATGTTCTAATATTAGGTTTTATTGAATAAACCTACACTTGTATGTCTTAAGCTGAAATAAAATGTTTGCGACATGTATCTTTTTAAAGGTTCCCTTCCTCTACCATTTTGGGGGAGAACTTCTTAAACTTCTAATGTAGAATAATTTCAAACATACAGAAAACTTGCAAGAATAGTACAAAGAACACCCATATACCTTTATCCAAATTTACCTATTGTTAATATTTTACCCCATTTGTTCCCTCTCTGTCTACACTCACACCATTCCCCCCCCACCGCGTGCACACACACACACACAATATTTTTGTTCTACCCAGTTGAGAATAAATTGCATGCATCATGGTCCTTTTCTTATAAATCCTTCAGGGTGTATTTTCTAAAAATAAGACTGTGCTCTTATAGACCACAAGACAGATACCAGCTTCAGTAAATGTAATACAGATGCGATACTCTTACCTAATCTACCATCTATATTCCAATCCTTTCCGTTGGCCCAGTGATGTCCTTTGCAGCACTTTTGTCTCCTTTGGTACAGGATTCAGTCGAAGCCTACGTTTTTCAAAATCCTTGTGAGGCCCTCCACAAACAGAACTCTGGGGTTCTCTCTCTCCAGTTCCAAGCTCCCCACCTTTCCTCCCTCCCATGTTGAAGCCCCTGTGCCTTTGTTTCTGCTCCTTGGACTGCTAGAACATCTTCCCTTACAAAACACCTACTTTTCTTGTTCTCTCAAGCTCCATCTTTTGTGAAGACTTTGCTTATGCCCATCCTTAGCCCAGATGGAGTTGACCCAGCTGGAAGCCAGGGGGCTTTCTCTTTAACCTCTCCCATGTCCTGTACCTGAAACCTAAGCATACTTGATATATCTTAGTGCATGTTCATGAGTACATATCTGGGTCCACCCACCACCCTCATCCCCCTGCCATGAGACCCTAAGATCTCTGAAAAAAGGAACAATATTTTATATTCTTTGTATCCCCAGGGTTGAACATAGGGTCTGTTGCATAGGAGTTGCTTTTTAAGTATTTATTAACCAGCAGTGGGATATATCACTGTAAAGAGCTGCTGTAGGAAGTTGCCGGATGTTTGATCCTGTCATCCTTCAAGAGGAAGGAAAATGCTCCTTTAATCAGAGGCCTTAAAATAGCTCTGGGGGAGGGGAATGAGTTTGGGGCGGGGGAAATTTGATCTCTGAAAGCTCTCCAGTTATATGATAGAGTGTGATGAAAGCAGACATAACCTTTACATTTAAAGTTTCCCAAAGACCCACACAACCTTCGCAAGAACATAGACTGGATTTTTTTCACCCATCCCCCCACCCACCTCCCCTCTGGCAACCACAGTTCTTTATATTTAAGAGTCTGGTTTTTGGTCTCTTTTTGTTTTGTTTTGTTTCTTAAATTCCACATATGAGTGAAATCATATGGTATTTGTCTTTCTCTGACTGACTTCTTTCACTTAGCACTATACTCTCTGGGTCCATCCATGTTGTTGCAAATGGCAAGATTTCATTCTTTTTGATGGCTGAGTAATATTCCATTGTGTATATATAGCACGTCTTTATCCATCCTTCTATCAACAGACCCTTGGCTGCTTCCATATATTGGCTATTTTAAATAATGCTGCAATAAACATAAGGGTGCATATGTTTTTGAATTCGTGTTTTTGTTTTCTTTGGAGAAATACCCAGTAGTTCAATTACTGAATCAGATAGTAATTCTATTTTTAATTTTTTGAGGAATCTCCATGCTGTTTTCCACAGTGGCTGCACCAGTTTGCATTCCCACCAACAGTGCATGAGTATTCCTTTTTCTCCAAATCTTCACCAACACTTGTTGTTTCTTGCGTTTTTTATGTTAGCCATTCTGAAAGGTGTGAGGTGATATCTTGGTGGTGGTTTTGATTTGCATTTCCCTGATGATGAGAGATGTTGAGCATCTTTTCATGTGTCTGTTGGCCATCTGTATGTCTTCTTTGGAAGAATGTCTATTCAGGTCCTCTGCCCATTTTTAGTTTCTTTAGTATTGAGTTGTATAAGTTCATATATGTATTGGATAGTAACCCCTTATCAGATACATCATTTGCAAATATCTTCTCCCATTTAGTAGATTATGACTGGATTTATTTTTTTAAGATTTTATTTAAAAAAAAATTTTTAAGTAATCTCTACCCCAAGGTAGGGCTCGAACTTAGAACTCTGAGATCAAGAGTCACATGTTCGGGGCACCTGGGTGGCTCAGTTGGTTAAGCGGCTGCCTTCGGCTCAGGTCATGATCCCAGGGTCTTGGGATCGAGCCCCACATCAGGCTCCCTGCTCAGCCTGCTTCTCCCTCTCCCTCTGCTGTTCCCTCTGCTTGTGCTCTCTCTGTCAAATAAATAAATAAATCTTAAAAAAAAAAAAGTCACATGCTCTATTGAGTAAGCCAGCCAGGTGCCCCTGGATTTATTTTTTAATTCCAAACTAATTTTAGACTTCCAGAAGAGTTACAGAAAACCATACAGAGAATTCCTAGAAATCCTTCACCCAGCTTCCCCTAATATTAACAAATTCTATAACCATAGAACAATGATCAAAACTGGGAAATTTGCATTGGTACAGTGCTATTAACTAAACTATAGACCTGATTCAGATTTCACCAACTTTTCCACTAATGTCTTTTTTCTGTTCCAGGGTCCTATTCAGGATCCCACATTGCACTTAGCTGTGTCTTTAATTGCCTCCAATCGGTGACAGTTCCTAAGCCTGTCCTTGCCTATTATGATCTTGACACTATTGGAGACTATTTGTTGTTTGTAGAATGTCCCTCATTTTGGGTTAGTCTGAGGTTTTCTTATGATTAATCAAAAATCTGCATTTTTGATAATACCACGGAAGGGATGTGCCCTTCTCAGAGCATCATATCCAAGTTCATGATGTCGTAAGTTTTATTAATGGTGACATTGAATTTGATCACTTGGGTAAGGAAGTTTCTGCTGGATTTTTCCCTATGGAGTTACCATCTTTCCCTTTGAAGTTAATAAGTATCTTAGAGATACTTTGAGAGCTTGTTTGGAGGTTCTAGCAGGGGAGCGCAGCTACTCGTATACCCTTGACCGAAGAACGGTCCTCCTCTATCGGGGAAGGTCGTCCTCTTCGACCGAGCGCGCAGCTTCGGGAGGGACGCACATAGAGCGGTGAGGGAGGAAGGGGACACCCGCCTAGCCAGCCAGATCAGCCGAATCAACCCTGGTGATCAATGGGGTGATAGATGTCGCAGCCAGATTGCCCTCACATCCATCTCAGAGATACTTTGAAACTATGTAAATATCCTGTTTCTCCTCAACCTTTCATCCACTCATATGTGCATCCATCAGTGACTATTGTCTGCAACAAATCTTACTGTGGTATTTGTCTAACAGTGAATTTTTTATTTCCCTCTTTCCTTCTACATTTATTGATTGGAATTCTTTTGGAAGGAGAAGCTGTGTGGACTGGATTTAGTTGCAGAATGTCACATACTTCTAATCAGTATTTTCTGGTCTTTTGATTTTTCACATAATTAGTTTGACAGCCATATTTCCCTCAGGGTGCCTGGCTGGCTCATTTGGTAGAGCATGTGAGAACTCTTGGTGTCAGGGTCGTGAGTTCAAGCTCCATGTTGGGCGTAGAGCTTACATTTAAAACAAACAAACAACTTTTATTTTTAATTTAGCATTTATATTTTATTAATGTTTACATAAAAGCATTGCAATCACTTAAGTTATTACTACATTTTCTTTATTATAGGTAGATTGAATGACTTAATTTTATAAATTACAAACCCAATGATTTGTTATTAAAGAAAACACAACTGAATGACTTTTAAAAGGGCACACCCTACATACAGACCTTAAGAAATTAGTTGTTCTGGGCACCTGGGTGGCTCAGTTGTTAAGCATCTGCCTTCAGCTCAGGTCATGATCCCAGGGTCCTGGGATTGAGCCCTGCGTCAGGCTCCCTGCCCAGCAGGAAGCCTGCTTCTCCCTCCCCCACTCCCCCTGCTTGTGTTCCCTCTCTCGCTGTGTCTCTCTGTCGAAAAATAAATAAAATCTTAAAAAATAAATAAAAAGTAAGTAAAAAAAGAAATTAGTTGTTCTTTGTTTAGCTTCTGTATGTCTAGTAGTAAAAATAATACTGTTGATGCCTACCCACAAATAGTTCGTTTGGCACATGTAAATTCTGTATCAGGAGAACTTTAATTTTAACATTTCTTGGTTTTGTTACATTGTAAATCGTAGCAGAATTACACAGAACACAGTATATTTAGTACAGATTTTTGTAGCTCAGCAGTTTTGTCGACCTTAGTTTTCATGCAATGTTTGCCCTCAGTGGCTGGTCAGCAGAAAGCATTGGATTGCAACTGATTCATTTCTGAGTCAGTGACAAATTCACTTTCCAAGAATGGTATCTCTCATCTTATAAAAATTTAAAAGAGCATTATTTAGGCCAGAGGTTGGCAAACTTCTTCCATAAAGACCCAGATCATAAATATTTTACATTTTATAAGCCATATAGTCTGTCAAAACTACTGAATTCTGCTCTTGTGTGTGAAAACATCTGTAGACAATATGCAAATGAGTGGCCATGACCGTGTTCCAATAAAACTTTATTTATAACAACAGGTGGCGGGTGGGAGGGGGGAGGTTGGTTTTCGTTTGCTGACCCCTGATTTAGACAATAAAAATACACAAACTTAAAATGCACATTAGCAGTTACCCTTGTCTGTCATTTTTCTCTACAGGCAGAAGACTGATCTTTGAAAATATGTATTTGGGAGATAGTCACGTTCTATTGAATACCTTGTGCTGGTGCTGCCATCGAAAAATCTGGTTACACTCCGGGGAGGCCTGCCGCCTCTGCAGGACTGCACCGCCTCGGCCCTGAGATGAGTGTCCGGCCTGAGCGGGCACACCATGAATAGATACACAACGATCAAGCAACTCGGGGATGGAACCTATGGTTCCGTCCTACTGGGACGAAGCATTGAATCTGGGGAACTGATTGCCATTAAAAAGTAAGTTTTATTCTTCACTCACATCAGTTCATCCTCAACAACACATTGTCAACATTGTTTTAACTCTACCCTCTGCATGTCTCGTCATTGAAAAATTTCTAAAGGGGGGTGGATGGGAGGCATGGAGGAAAGACTTAGACAATGATTTCTGTGGGCTAGGTGACTGTTGGCTCTGGAATGTTCATGGCAGAGGTCTTAAACACATTTCTACTTTAGATTTGTTTATTGCACTAGTACCTTTTCAAGGTGTCTTATCCTATTGTGACATAGTAACGAGCAGGTTTAGAAACATTTTATTGGAAAGGAAACTGAAACTCTGAGAAGTTAAGTGACTTAATTTGGATCATTTACACATGTGGTGGTCTGGGGACCACTATCTTCATCGCCCCACTCCACTTGCCCTTTGCAGTCTGAGTCCACTATGTTAGTTATCTGTTGCTGTGTAACCATTTACCCCAAGAATTTGTGGTTTAAAACTACACACATTTATTATCTCTTATTATCTCTGTGAGTCAGGAGTCTGGGCATGGTTTAGGTGAATTCTTTACTTTAGGGTCTCTCATGAGGCTGCAGTCAAGGTGTTGGCCAGTGCTGGGGTCTTCGCTCAAGGCTGGACTGGGAAAGGATCCACTTCCAGGCTTACTCACGTGATTGCGGGCAGCATTCCATACCTCCCTCGTGGTTGCACTGAGGGCCTCAGGTCCCTCCTGGCTGTTGGCTAGAAGCTGTCCTCAGTCCTTTGCCATGTGGGCCTCTCCAAAGAGCAGCTCACAACATGGCACCTTGCTTCAAGATGTGGGGACCATGAAGGCCATGAGAGAGTCTTCTACCAAGGTGGAAGTCACATCTTTTTGCTTTTGTAAACTAATCCCAGAAGTGACCTCCTTTCACACTGCTGTATTCCATTGCTTAGAAGCAAGTCATTGAAGGAGAGGTGTTATCCCAGGCTCTGAATACCAGGAGGTGGGAGTCTTCAGGGACCATTTTAGGGCCTGCCTGCTATACCCATCTATATCCAGTCACTTTCTCAACATCTCTATTTGGATGCTTGTAGACACTTCAGACTCATTATATCCCAAACTGAGCTTTTATCCAACATTTTCCCTCTCTTGCCCCAAACCTGTTTTTCCTTCAGTGTTCCCTATCTTATGAATGACACTACCATCCCTTCAAAACCTGCACATCCTCCTGACCTCCCTCTGTATGCCCAGCATTGGCCACCTAGACCCATAGATTCCAACTTGTATATTTATCTGATCCACCTACTTCTCTGGATTCTCCCTGCTAACCTCCCATTCAACCCATTATCATTTACCACCTTTACCACTAGAATAATCTCCTCTGTAGGGTTCCTGGCTTCCATTCTACCCCTCTCCATTCCAGTATGAAGGGATTACTTTAAACACATGAATCTAATTGTCTAAAATCATTTGCACCAAACACTGTGTCCCTGCTGCCCTATCTCATCACCTTGTCCCACCTGACTTCAGTGTGCTGTGGTGTATAGTTCTATGCCCACTACCAGCACGCCCCCCCCAAAAAAAAGCACATGGGAGACTCTCAACCAGGGCACTCTCCACACGGGCCAATAGAAGGCCCCCAGCAGGACTGAGCCCCAGTTGCACACCTGGGTATCAGCTCAGTAACATACACTTTAATGGGTTTCCCATGTCTCTCTTCCCATTTTCCCTGCTCCTTGCCCTGGCTTCCTGGAATCACCTCCCAAATAAACTGCCTGCACCTGGGTCCTTGCCTCAGGCTCTGCTTTCAGAGGAACCCAAACTATAGCATTTTGTAATATCGTCCTATCAGTTTTAGGATCAAGCCTCCAATTATTAATGTGACCTACAACTTGCTGCATCACTTGGCCGCTCCCTGTTTTCTTCAGTCTGATCTCCTGCCACTACCCCCCTGCCGACGTCATTCCCGCCACTCTGGCCTTTCAGCTTCTTGAACTCACTAAATCCCTTTCTGCCCCTAGTCTTCACATTGATATTCCCTGCCTCCTACCTCCTACCTTAGTCTTTTTTTTTTTTTTTTAAGATTTTATTTATTTATTTGAGAATGAGAGAGAGCACATGAGAGGGGGGAGGGTCAGAGGGAGAAGCAGACTCCCTGCCGAGCAGGGAGCCCGATGCGGGACTCGATCCAGGGACTCGATCCAGGGACTCCAGGATCCTGACCTGAGCCGAAGGCAGTCGCTTAACCAACTGAGCCACCCAGGCTCCCCTCCTACCTTAGTCTTAATTGAACTATCACCTCATTCCAGAAGTGCTTCCTGATACCCCAGACTAAATTAGGTCACTTTGGGGTCTGCTCTCACCGTGTCCTGTGCCTTTCCTTCCCAGCACTCAGCACAAAAAGTGATGATGAATTGCCTGCCTTCCTGCTGCGATGTCAGGTCCACGAGGGGTGCCCCTCTCACCGTTGTATCCCTAGTGCCTGACAAAGCCCCTGCCACACACAGGAGGGGCTAAAGAATATTTGGGGCATGAACTCCACCAGCAGACAGTGTGACATTGGCAACAGAGTGTGAGAGTGAGGTGGAGAGATGGAAGCTGGCCTCTTATTAGCCAGCAGGGAGACCTTGGGGGAAATCACATGACTTCTCTGTGTCTTCATTTCCTCCCTTGTCCCATCTATTAACCCGGGGCCACTGGAAGAGCCCAATGAGACCATGTGATTGCAGTGTGATGTAAGATAGAATCTTGAAACTTGGTCTCTGGTTAGCCCATAGGGTTGTCTTTCTCTCCCCTCAGGCTGTAGGCCAGGGTTGGCAAACTTCTTCTGTACAGAGCCACACAGTAAATATTTCAGGCTGTGCAGGCCACATGGTCCTGCCCCAACGCAGTTCTGCGATTGTGTAAAGGCAGCTATAGGCCATGTATAAATGAATGAGTGTGGTTGTATTCCAATAAAACTCTTTACAGGAACTGAAATTTGAGTTTCATAAAATTATTACACGTCATGAGATCTCACGCTTCTTTTGATGTGTTTTCCCCAACTATTTAAAAATACAAATGTCGTTCTTAGCTTATGGGCTGCGCAGAAAGAGATGGTGGGGTAGAGTTGGCCCGTGGGCCATAGTTTGCCAACCCCTGCACCAGAGGGTCTAGAACTGTGTTGTCGAACAGAGTGGCAAGTAACCGTAGGGCATTTAAATGTGAATTTTCTTAAAAATTGAGTTCCTATGTTATGCTAGCCATATTCCAAGTATTCACTACCCAGATTTGTGTAGTCTTATGGCTACCATACTGGACAGCACGGAGCGTTCCCATCAATACAGAAAATTCTGTTGGAGAGCTCTAGTCTAGATCAAATAAGCCTGAGGGATTAGCCTGCAGGACAAGGTTAGCCAATTAGAGATGGAGCAAGACAGCTGGAGAAGTCTCCTTGCACTGCCTTGCACCGTCTCTGCTGGGAAATTTTGTGATGTAGGATTGATCGCACTGCCAGATTTTAAAATGAATGTTTTGGATAGTATAATATTTGGTAGAAATTGAAACCAGCTTTCAGCACTGTTCATTAGATTCAGAATGAAACATATTTTTTTGTTTGTTTTGGGTTTGGGGTTTTTGGGTTTTTTAGTGTTTTGGGTTTTTTGTTTTTCCACCTCCCCCCCCACAACCCGCCCAGAATGAGAACATTTTTAAACAAGAAAGTTTAGCCTGTTACTGTGAATAAGCATGCTATTTGTTTCTTTGTTCTCTTTTAGAATGAAAAGAAAGTTTTATTCCTGGGAGGAATGCATGAACCTTCGGGAGGTTAAGGTATTTATTAATATACCAGGGAAAAATTTATGTATGGTTGATTAAAATAGCTTTATACTTGCTTAGATTTATGGTTGATAGAGTTAGTCATTCTGTTTGAATTGTTCCACTGATGCTAACAAAAGGGGGCAAATGACAACATTATACAGCTAAGAGCTCAAGGTAGAAGATTGCTATTATATTAGTAAATAATACTTCTTTAAACTTTGGTATAGTACTATTAACTAAACCACAGATTTATTCCAATCTCGCACATTTCCCACTAATGTCCTTTCCCTTCCCAAGTGTGATGAAATAGACATACATGAAATTTACCATATTACGAATTTGTAAGAGCACCGTTCAGTGGTATTAAGTGGTATTGTTGTATGGTCAGAACCTCCATCCACCTCCAGAACTCTTCATCTTGCACACTTGAAACTCTGAACCTGTTAAACAACAATGCCCGTGACCCCTCTGCCCCCAGCCCTTGGCAAACACCCTTTTAATTTCTGTCTCTGTGAATTTGACTACTCCAGGTGCCTCAGATAAGTGGAATCATGCAGTATTTCTTTTTTGTGCCTGGCTTATTTCACTTGGCATCGTGTCTTCAAGGTTCATATCATAGCCTGCGTCAGAGTTTCCTTCTTTTTAAGGCGAAATCCTATTCAGTTTTAGGTAGATGCCACATTTTGTTGATCCGTTCACCCGTTGACGGACACTTGGGCTGCTCCCACCTTTTGGCTTTTGTGAACCTTCCCATTTCTTTAAGCTCTTCCTTTCCACTGGCTCCTTCTCTTCCATCTCTAAATAAATATATGTACCCTCCATCCTCCCTGATCAGCTGATCAGGGAGCCTGATGTGGGGCTCGATCCCAGGACCCTGGGATCATGACCTGAGCCGAAGGCAGACGCTTAACCGATTGAGTCACCCAGGCGCCCCTCCAGTTCGTTTTCTCAGGCATTTTCTTGCCTGCGGTGTTGGGTACTGTCCTCTCCCAGGGCTGTGTGACTCTGTTTTGGCCTCGCTGTCCTACCTCTTTCTTGCCTTTCTTCAAGTGCTCTGTAGTTCACCCTTTAAATAGCGATGATTTCTCACATTCCGTCCTTAGCAATTTTCTTTGCTCTGAATCTCCTCCCGTGTAATTTCATTTACTTCCCTCACTTCAGTGGTCTCATCAAATCTTTTATCCTTTGTAAGCACTAGACCAGGGGTTGATGAACGGCCATGTCCTGTTTAAATGCAATTTTATTGGAACACTTGCCCACTTGATTACATATTTTCTATTGGCAGATTTCACATTTTGATGGCAAAGTTGAGTAGTTGGGGCAGGGACCGTATGACCTAGAAAGCCTAAAATATTTATCCTCTGTCCCTTTAAGAAGAGTTTGCTGATGTCTGCTTCAGGCCCACATATCCAACTGCTTCGTGGATATCAGCACCTGAATTTTCTAGAATGTCTGCCTCCCCCAGTGCTCCTATTTTCTCCCTCCTCTGTTAACGATCATTTACCCATTCACCCAGAAACTGCAGCTCACTGCAGGTGGTCTGTGTGACCTCTCTTCCTCCACATCTCATGCACCCCATGTGCTGTCCCCAGAATGATCTCGGGGACATTCAGCCGATCACACACTACCTACCGTTTCCTGATACACTACTATAAGCCAGACAGCATCTGCATTGTCTTGCTTCATCCTCACAACTACATCGTGAGGAAAGTGCTAGTACCTTGGGTTTGCTGCTGAGAACAGGGTTCTCAGAGACTCAGTCACTTGCTCGAGGTAAATGCAAGTCTAAGCCACAAAGCTTGGTTTCAGACCCACGTTTGTCAGGCTTCGATAGCATATGCATCTAGCATCCAACCAGTGTATTCCCTTGCCCACTTCCCCTGTCAGAGTCTTCTGGATGAGCTTCCTTCAGAACCAGACTGGGGCAGTTCTCACCCCTCAGGCGTAGACCACACCATTCCACTCCCACACCCATACCTAAGAAGGGCTTCTCTCCTGACACACCCTTTCCCTCCCACTGACTTGTCTAGGTGCTATTCTTCCTTCAAGTCACACTGGATGGTACACTCATTGACCATTGGGTTTTGCTGATTACTCCTTCTTGAAACATTTCTGACGTTCCTTGTCTCTGTCATTCTCTTGACCCTAATAAAATCTCCCTCATTCTGTTCTGTGGATTTTGTATTCATGCCCTCTCTTCGTAATTAGGCCATTTGCCTCTTACAGGCAAGGACATTGTCTCATGCCCCTGGGTACCCTTGAGGAGCAGTATGTTGTAGTTTTGTTAAATTGTTAAGAACCTTCATCCAAATGGGGATAAACAGTCTCCATTTGGACCGCTGACCTGGTTTTAATTTGCTATTTGTGCTTCTCGGCTCTAAGTGTCCTGCCTCTTCCTCTCCTTGTAAACCTTTCCTGAGCCTAAATAAGATGCCCTCTCTCTGTAAAATGAGTCACATGAAATCTCCCACACAAAATTCATCCCTTTTATATTAAACTAATATAGTTTTTACTTGTCCATGAGACTCACTCAGGAACAGGAACTGTGAGCCCTTAGATTTGAACCAGTAATTCATGCACAAAACAAATGTCAGGCCAAGCGTGGAAGGTACTCTGTTCCTTGCCTAGGATGTTCCTCTTGAAAAGCTTAAAAAACCTACTTCATTTTTCCTCTGACTGAATTTGCCGCGTTCATCCTGCAGCTCATCCACTGGACATGTCAGCCATTGCTGTGATGCATTTTAAGCGAATAGAAAAGAAGGCTGCAGAGGTGAAAACTTACGAGTTAAGCAATGTTTGTGTTTGTTACTCATGGAGAACCTGGAAACCAACCTAACTAAAACAACTGATCAGCCTGGTTGGGTCATTCTAGAAGGATCCGGCCTTAGGTTGAGGATTTCCTGCCAGAGAGGCTCCTTGGCAGGAGTTTTTCTTTCAGGAAAGAGGCTCCAGAAGAGTTTTATTTTGTTCTCATTCACTGGCCATATTTCCTCCCTCTTCCCAGCCGCTTGAAATAACTCGATCATATTACAGCATTCCCAAGCTCTGATTCCGTGGAGGCATTATTACTGGGTGTCCTAGATTTGGATATTCGTGTTCACCTTTTTGTCTTCTGCCACTGTGTTTAGTTTATAAAAGGAGTGTTCTTTTTAAGGAAATTCAAAGATAAGGAGGGCTTGACAATGTATTATTATCAGAGTCACTTCTCTGTGAGGAAAAGGCTTTTGGAATTAAAGGGCTCATCCCACTGGCCGGTGGTCCTTTGAGGCTCCCTTGCAGGAGACTGTTAATAAAATTCTGACCATCTGGTGAGCAAAGCCACAGTTTCTCTGGCTGTCGTATATGAACAGCATCGCTGCTTACAAATACAAAAGTGTACTCGCTCACCGTGAACAGAACTAATGATGCAAACAGAAAAAAGTTGACATGTGGCTCTGCTCACGGGGTTGTGGCAGGAACAGGAAAACTGCACGTGTGCAAGGATGAGGAATCAGGTCACGCCCCATTTTCTGAGCCACTCTGTTACAGTTTCTCATCACCCGCCTGACTTTTTTGCCTTTGCTGTTCTTGGAATCAGAGCTCTTTCTCCCATCTCACCTTGGGTCGGGGGTGGGGTGGGGGGGCCAGGAGGGCTTTGCAGTGAGATTTCTCCTCTTCATCCTTTCTCCTTTAAAACTCACATCAGTGGGGGGTCTTGGGGGGGGATGGGGATTAAAGAGGGCACTTGGGTGGAGCACTGGGTGTTGTATGTGAGTGATGAATCACTAAATACCTCTCCTGAAACCCAATACTACACCATATGTTAACTAACTTGAATTAAATAAAATATTAAAAAAAAATAAAACTCCCATCGTGAGGACTGGTGTGGGCCTTGTGGACGCACATGAGTCCGACGGAAATTGAGAGCCTCGGGCTATCAGCCTCTGTCTATGTGAACAACTTCCTGTTCACAGGGTCTACAGACTGTTAGCTGGTCATCTCGGCCCAGAGCAGCTACCTTTTCCAATACTAGAACAAACAAAGCTTCAGCTCCCCATTGGTTCCCTTCTGGCCGTTTTCATGGATTGAATCCCATCATCTGGAAGGAGTGCACCTAAAATAGCCCTGGCCCATTGGCTGGTGCAGCCAGCAGCCAGAAATACCGTAATGGTCAAGTACTTACTTGCTAGTCAGCTAATCGAAATGGTTTTTCTACGTTAAAGTGATTATTGACTTCAGCGAAATACCATGTATTGTCAATAAAATAGGGATTGTGGCACTTCTGTGGTTCTAGAATTAGATGTTTCTTCCGAAGTATATGTGCAGTTGCTTTTCTTTTCCAACAACAGATTTTCTCTCATTTTTTTCTGTTTCTCCCCCTCGCCTTTCAGTCTTTAAAGAAGCTCAACCATGCCAATGTGGTAAAATTAAAAGAAGTTATCAGGGAAAATGATCATCTTTATTTTATCTTCGAGTACATGAAGGAAAATCTTTACCAGCTCATTAAAGAAAGGTACAGTTTGATCATCGTGACCTTAGAAGTAAATCTCGCAAAGAGGATGTGTTTTCTTTTTTTGCTTTTGTCTTTCGCAGTTAACGCTGCTTAGGCTGCCCTGTTGAAAGCTGCCCAGTAGATGCGGGGCCCAGGCCACACTCCTACTCTGGAGGCCTCCCGAGGCCTTCATAGAAGCCACGTTCAGTGTAGCCGTTTTCCGGTTTTAATGGGTTATTCCCCCAGAGAAGCTCAGAGGTTGAACAGATACTCCACAGCTCTCCATTCCCACAAGGACATACGGGCAGAGCGATTACAGGTCAAGGTGTAACGGCTTCGTTCTTTCTGAGACCTCCATGGAGAACTTGGAGGTTTCTTGCCCTCGCTTTCTTGTACAGTGCTCAGGGGCTTGTGTGCTGGGAAGAGGAAACTAATAACAAACTTACCTGCTATGGGAATTTTGAACTTTGAAAGTGAACCACGTGGAAGTTCTAGGGCATATTTTCTCAGTGGCAAGTGAGCGCTTCATTCCCAGCTTCTCTCTGAGTGAATTCAGTCAACAAATAGGGTCTTCATTGTCACTGACAACAGAGAAGCTGTATGGTTTGCCCTCCCGGGGGGAATACAACACTATCCCCTACTATCCACTACATTTCATGAGGACTTCATCTGGAAGACCTCGGATTTTCCCCATTACAATTTTTCTAAGTTTCATATTCTGGAGAGAGAAGATCTTTATAGGATAGATCGGAGGGTTTGCGGGGGGGTGGTTACTATAAAGTTTAATCTTTTCTTCTTTGTAACATAACTGAACATACCAATTGCCAATATACCAATACACCAGTGTTTACAAGGTAGCTGTCTTGTACGGACAAATGGTTGTTTTTCTTTGGTCTTTATTATCAAGGATCTGGTCACATAAGTGTGTGAGCAAATGTTTTCTTACATTCTTACTGTATAACCAAAAGAACAGGAACAGAGTATTTGTTTTCATGTGTAAATCTAGATTTATAACCTTTGTCCTCCTCTCTCCCATCCAGAAATAAGTTGTTTCCTGAATCTGCTATAAGGAATATAATGTACCAGATATTACAAGGACTTGCATTTATTCACAAACACGGTAGGTGGTTTGGAGTCTTGAGCTTTTTAACAACAGTGAAATGTTGTCATCAGGTAGAAGGTACAGGAAGCATCAGGGTCTTTGGTGACTGCCTCCCAGAAGAGGTTGACAGGTTGGGAGGCTGACAGTGGGGTTTGGGATATGTTCTCTTTTGTCACTTGATTTCTGAATTTTTCTCATTATTTATCATGTCCGTGTGTTCTAATTCTTTAGGCTTTAACATTAAGCTCGTTGGTTATAGGTCTAAAAGTTATTCCTGCCCATTACCTGGTGTATTAATAAGATGCCTAAGATTAGAATTCAGAGACATTTCACGTATTATGTTTAATCTACTACTACTGCTTCACTGTGGCCTCTCATTTTCCTGATGCATTATATTTCAGTCCAAAAGCGTTCAAAAATGGCCTAACAAAATTTATTCAACACAGGAAAATAAAATCAGTTAAAAATTAACAAAGAAAGAGAAAGACAAAGACAAAACAAGATATGGATATAGCTAGAGGGGGAAGTTAATCTGCAAAAGGCATGTCCGCAAGTTCTACTTAAGTAAAAGAAATAGGCTACAGATTTTTTTCTGAACTTACTTTTTTTTTTTTTAAGATTTTATTTATTTATTTGACAGAGAGAGACACAGCGAGAGAGGGAACACAAGCAGGGGGTGTGGGAGAGGGAGAAGCAGGCTTCCCACCGAGCAGGGAGCCCGATGTGGGGCTCAATCCCAGGACCCTGGGATCATGACCTGAGCCGAAGGCAGATGCTTAAAGACTGAGCCACCCAGGCGCCCCCTGAACTTGCTTTCTGATGATGCAAAATGTGAAACATGACCAACTGCATCCAACATGGTTCCCCCACCCCAATAAAAATAGTCCAGTTGCCCAAGAGAAGCAGAACTATTCTTGGAACTAAGACCAAAGAGGTTTCTCTTATGGATCCTTCTAGAGGGGACAGTATGTAACGTGACTTCACGGTAAACAGTAACAGATTGCACAGGGCAGTTTCATGTCATATCCCTCATTTTAGGCCAGTTATATCACTTGATCAGAGAAAACAGTCCTACTGGGGCCCAGTATGATTCACCGTAGGGCTGGTCTCAGTAGTCCAAGGAGAGATTTAGAATATCTAGAGGAATGGATGGCCACATACCCTTCGGGAAATCCTCCAATACTGTTGTCCTTAGCTGAGTTTTGAAAGGTGTTGAGTAGCAATGACCGAGGCTGTATTTTCCAGCAAACACCTGGGATGTTACGAAGTCTCTGCTACTAACTAGACGCAGACCCATCTTCTTGTGAACCTAGAGCCATGGGATGGACATGTCCACCAGTGGAGCCAAGAGTCCCATAGGGGGTCATTTGAAGTCACTTTAACTTTTTTTTTTTTTTTTAAAGATTTTATTTATTTGACAGAGAGAGACACAGCGAAGGAGGGAACACAAGCAGGGGGAGTGGGAGAGGGAGAAGCAGGCTTGCCGCTGAGCAGAGAGCCCGATGCGGGGCTCGATCCCAGTACCCTGGGATCATGACCTGAACCGAAGGCAGACGCTTAACGACTGAGCCACCCAGGCGCCCCAAGAAGTCACTTTAACTTTAAAGACAGATGGACGAAGCAGTTGATCTTGCACAGGCAGAAAGCCATTCACCCCCCAGCCTAAAGATGTTGTTGCCCTGCAAATATTGCACCAACAGATGAGTTTCATTACCCAATAAGGAACCTGGGCGGAAGCCCTTTGATAATACGGTCGGCGCAGATTTGACACAAATCAGCAGTGAGTAGAAAAGACACCGCGCCTCAGCCAGTGGCACGGTTCATCCTGGGATCTTTCCAGTCTGCTCTTTAACCTCTGGGTAGCTCTTCAGTTAGAGGCTAAATGAAGCACAGATAGACAGAGGCTATCTGTGCAAATCCATGTCGGCCTCAGGCACATGCTGAATAATCAGTGGGTAATGTGCAAGACTGAGTCCACTTGTGAACCAATTCCAGTAAAAAGTTTTCAGTAAAAAGTCAGCCCAATTCTGTTGGCATCGATAGAGCCTTCAGTCACCAGGATTCACAAGGGATGGAATTTGCAAAACATGAAAAACTGGTATGGTGTCTTAGGGACAAATAGGGGGAGAAGGGTAACTTACTAGATTTAAGAGCATAGCAAAAGGAAGTGATGAGAAATCAAAGAGATTCTCAAAAGAGAAAGATCGACCAGAATGTTTTCACACAGGGACAGTCACATAATGTCTCAGTTACTCGGGCTGTTTACTCAGTCCTGGAAACTGAGTAGTGGACCTAAAAGAAAGTGAATATTCATTGGCTTTCTCTTCTTTTCCTTTGGTTGCATTTCATGAGACTCAGGTATCTGTTGCCAGAAAGGACTTGTAGTCTTTTTACCTGGGTCTCTACCTAATCCCATCAAATGAACACACACACTCACCCATGTGCCTCATGCATGTGCATATGCATCCACACATACACAAGCCCACATACCTGCATGTACACTGCTCCCCCAACACCTGCACACACCCACACCCACAAATGCACGTGTATGCGCACACAGTGCATATTTGTATCCAGTAATGTAGCATCCAGATACTGTTGTGACACCACAGCTCTTGGAAACTCTGCACTGTCAGTTTCCCTCACACCCCTTGGATGCTCAGATCCAAGGGAAGACAGTGCAAGGGAAGGCTCAGGTCATGGAGGAAGTCAGACCGCCTCTGTTTTTACAACCCCAGGGCCATTGCTATTACCAAAGATTCCTGTGGACGCTTTTCCCCAGCTGTTAAGGTGCCCAGTTCTAGTTTGAGCTTCATAACATTTCATCTGTCACCCGACTTATTTCCTGGCCACTTTCTCAGTGAGCAAGGACAGATGGTATCTGTTCCTTCCAAAGAAGAAGAAACTGACGTTCAGAGAGGTTGAAAGACCTGCCAGAGCCCCCACTGCAGCAAAGTAGGGTGGAGATTAGCTCGGGGCTCTGTGCCTATTTGCCATGCTTTACTAGAAAAACCTGTGTTTTTTCAAAGAGAACCAGAGAATCAGAGGTGAACCAAATAGTGGTAATAATTGTAGGTGGGAGGGATATTAATTTTACAGGCCCCATCTCATTGTCATTGCTAAGTGATTTTCGGAAACTATAACGGTAGGTTTTTATATGGTGATTGACTTGCCTTTGTTGAAGTGCACATGTAACTCCAAACTATCCCTTTCCTCCGGTAATAGAAAAAAAAAAATCATCTCAAGCACTTCACAGATTTGTCTTGTTAGCTTGTTCTCACTGTGAGAAGGTGCATTCTGCCCCCGGGGAGTAGACTCCTTCGAGAGGGGAGAACAGCACTGCAGGGGTAGTTGCTATGGTCATAGTTCATGTCACTGAGTACTTTCCCCGCTCAGGGAATGAAAACATGACTCCACCTGGTGCTGAGTGAGCAATGCCAAAGCATATGTACTTTGCTGGAATTAAATAATCAATGCAAACCGCGTTTCGTCCTTGACCTGCCCTTAGAAATGTCCAGCTCACACTTACTCACTGTTACCCAATCAGAAATGCCTTAGGTGGCTTGGAGGACAATGTTTTGCCCCAAGAAGTGGTTCTCTGCTTCTGTGTTTCACCTCTGTCTTGCAGTGCGTGCCTGACCTTGAGTCAGCCCTTGGCCTTTCTATGCATTGCTGTCCTGGTGGTCTTCTTGATCATAAAAACACTGTAGGTTTAAATTCAGTAATATCTGTGGAACTAACAACTTCCATAGCAGGAAGCTATGGAAGCATAGCATAGCACGTAAATTCCTCGTGTTTCGGTATTCCCTGGTTATTTCCATATATTCATATCAGGTTCATCATTAACAGAATGTGGCAGAGGGGAGGAAGCCTTCTTTGTGGCTTGATGTTTTCCTCGCCCAAGGGTTATTAATGAAAAGTAAGCACCGCACAGTTTCTGCCAGGATGAAAGAGAAAATCCCTCAGTGGGGTACCCTGAAATTTAATTGAAGGTCTGTTCTGGTCTTCTGGAAGCCAAACAGTTTGAACAGAAAGATTCTTATCTTGACCGCACTTTGCTGTTGCGTGATGTCTGAATGACCCGTCTGTATAGGTTCCCATTGTGAATCAGAAGCTGAGAGGAAGAAGTGGGCTCACTGTTACAAGCTCAGCACACACATCAGCAGAACACGTACCTAGCTAAGAACTGGATCAAAGCTTAGTACCACCTCCTCACAGGTGAAGCGCATGACTAGCTTCATTGCCTTAATTCTCACATGCAAAAAATGGAGCTGTGTATGCCTGCCCCCTTACTGGGAGGGTAAGAGGATTCATACTACTACTAATGACAAGGTCTCGCAAGGGGCCAGGGTGCCAAGCAGGGCTCTCAAACCTTTACAAAATTAACACATTGCATCCTGCAAAACAAGCCCTCAAGGTTTTCTTCCCATTTTCCAGGTTAGGAAAGTGAGGCACAGAGAGGTTAAGTGATTTTCCAGACAGGGAACAGAAGTGAGATTTGAAAGTGGGCCACCTGATTGGTCTGCACACCTAACCACTACGCTGCATTGCCTCTCGTGTGGAAGTTACAATATTTTGTTAAAATAGAGATGAAAAATACATGTACACGACGTGAGGGTCTTACAGTTTTAATTACCAAGGAATAGAACTCATGGGTGTAAGACTAATAGTAGCTAACGTGGTAATGAAAAGAACAGAGGGCTAGATCTTCTACAGACATGTTCATGAATGCTTCCTAGTTATAAAGGCTTATACTCAAATACAGTATAACAAACAGCATATGTCACCTGACAAATAGTTTTCATTAGTCATTTGTGAGGGTCTGTTTGCAATCAAGTTTTTTCCTAGCCATTGTTCCTGATTGTTTTGGGCCTGAAATATGATCTGTAGAATGTGAAACTGCTTACACAGACACATGGGGGACCAGAATCCTCATTCTCCTCATTTTATGAGTGCATCTGTTCTGGTAGGATTAAAGAGGAACTAGCAGCGAGGGAAAGGATAGAGCTTGACTAATGTGAGGAGGTGGTCAGTGCCCATGGGAGCATAACCTATGGTGGAAGCAAGGTGCAAAGTCCGGGGTGTAAGAGTGATTCTTGTATCATAGTATAAGTCAGTGTGATGGGATGAACTGAGCAAGGATAAGGTGCAAGTTCGTCGAGGTGGGTGTTACAGATGGTGGCAGAGGGAGCTCGCCATGGCTTGGACGCTGGAGGACAAATGACTCACGATAAGGGAAAGGCCACATGAGTTTGGAAATCATTATTTAGCCCAAGTAGAGGAGAAAAGGTGTCTAAGAGGAGAAACAGCGTCAATGTGTGCTTGAGAGGACTAGAACCACAAATCAAGATTTAACTATGCGGATTGAGAGGGACAGAGTCAAGCCCAAAAGTACAATGGCTCTAGCACATTTCTGGTAGGATTGTGAATAATTAACCACCCCCCACCATCACCAACCAATGACTCACTTTTTCCATCTGTTCAGTTGGAAAATGGTGTTTGCCATTTCTTTTTTTCACTGGTGTGTTTTTAATGTCCTGAGTTTTTCGGAAGAGAGCCCATGGTCCCACAGTTCATGGCTTTTCAGGGTCACAGGAGTTTTCCTGCATGCACTGACAAAAGGTCACTCTCTGGTAACTGCTTCTGTCTTTGCACATTCATAAGCCAATTCCAAGATGGGCACGTACAACCAGGCCTTCTGGGAGCTGGAGGGTGCTCTGAAGAACGGAGGGTCCAAACATGATGACTCAGTTATACTGAGTCTTAGAAACCACCCACTCTGGTGTGCATTGATCATCTTTATTTAATTCATCTGATAATAAGCCATCCAAACTTGTCCACATCAGAAAAGTCTTTTATTTTTTTATTTTTTTTAAAGATTTTATTTATTTATTTGAGAGAGAGAGCACAAGCAGGGGGAGTGGCAGGCAGAGGGAGAAGCAGGCTCCCTGTTGAGCAAGGAGCCCGATGGGGGACTCGATCCCAGGACCCTGGGATCATGACCTGAGCCGAAGGCAGACACTTAACCGACTGAGCCACCCAGGTGCCCCAGAAAATTCTTTTGTTTTAAAGGCCATCCTTGACTAATACTGAATTACCATTTGAATTTGCTGACAGCCTCAAGTTTGGTGCTTACTATAATTTAGGTTTAATTTATTATTAATTTGGTTAGGATACTTAAGGAAGTGGTAAGAAGAAGACCATAGGGTATATATTGGTATGATGGCAGACTAAAGAATGAAGCAATGGAATATAGATATATATATATTTTTTTTTCTTTCCATATACATTTCCATACAAATGAGATACAAAGGCTATACGCACACACACATTCATATGATGTACCAATAGCAAACTCTCTACCCGTCTCTGGTCTAACCCAGGCAGGACTCCTTTGATCTTCTCAATGCCTTGGATTATGGAAAACAGAAGCAGCCTTTGGTGGGAAGGAAGTACTTCCTCTTCTCATTTGCGGCCCCCTTGAATATGTATGATCCCTTCTGTACCTTCAGCCCCTTCTTTTTTTAAAATTATTTTTTAATTTTTATTTTTTTTAAGATGTGTTTATTTATCTTAAAGAGAGCACGAGTGGGAGGGGCACAGGGAGAGGGAGAGTCTTAAGCAGACTCCACACTCAGCACAGAGCCCAACACAGGCCTCGATCTCACAACCCTGAGATCCCAATCTGAGCCGAAACCAAGAGTCGGACACCCAACAGACTGCGCCTTCGGCCCCTTCTATGTGCTCTGTAATTATATTTATTTTGTGCATCTTAGCCAGCCATTTGCCTGCAGACCCATCATTATGCCATAAAACTATCCATTTGGAGTGTGACCTAGTACCAAGCTCTGGCAGTGAACAGAAGGGAGTGTCTTTTCTTTTAAAACACTGTTGCTTTCCATGATACATGACATCCACTGCATGTTCAGGTACAGCCACATCACAGTCACCTGCCCCTTCCTCTAGAGCAGAGAGGGTTTGGGGTATTTAGTCCTGGAACTCCCCCCGTGCTGAGGACTTCCTGCCCTGAGCCCTCAGTGCCTCCCCCACTACTTCAGGGTCACTGCTCTTCTCACTTCTCAGTTGCTGTCTGGTGAGCCTTCCTGCCTCCTGGTCTTCTCTCGGTTGCCCCTGCCTACTTGGCCAAAGTAAATTTGTCGCCATTGAGCTCTTTCATGTTCCCTACAAACCTATTCAAGTCCTTTGTTCAGTCAGTAAGACTCATGTTATGAGACCACCATGCTCCTGCCATGGTGCTAGGCATTTAGAAAAAGTAGAATTGTGGCTTCTACCCTTAAAATGCTCCATCTAATCATAGAGAGATGGTCAATATACCTGAAAATGGCAGAGCTCTGCTCAAGTTCAGAGGGAAGAGCCTATCATGTCTACCAGGGAAAGAACTGTGTCCATTTGGGTTGCTTCTGAATCCACGGAGCCTCGCCCAGTGCCTGGCCTGGAGTGGGCCCTCAGTGAACATTTACTGATAGGGTGAGTGAGGGAAGAAGGCTAGGATGATTAAAATGGCTTCCTGGAGGAGGGGAAACTCGATGTAGGTCTTGAAGGATGACAAAAATTGGGATTGACATAGATAAAAAGGAACAAGGGTGCAACATTGGTAATGGGAATAGATACAATGAACCTGTAGGAAATGAGGAATTTTACCTGACTGGAACATACTTTATATATCCTGGTGATATTAGAAAATAAGTCTATCCCTTTAGGTAGACTGAAAGGAGTTCGAACTTTTAAATAACTTTAAAGGAGCCATGGAAGGCTGTGTGTGTGTGTGTGCGCGCGTGTGCGTGTGCGTGACAGTGACAAGGGAAAGACAGTGTTTAAATTATCGGGAAGTGTGGAAATCCAGAGAAGCTGATTGAAGAAGGCCTGACAGCAAGGGGCAGTGGAGGGATAGGTGAGGAGAACAAAGATTTGGGAAGGAGGAGTGAAAGGGGGCAGGAAGGATCAGATAGGAGATATTTGGGTGAGAAATAGAACATAATTCCATGACTGTTTGGGAAGGATCCAATATAACTACAAGGAACCGGGATACCTTATCAAAGGTTTGGGAAGGAGAGATGATTTGGGAGAGGAGAAGAGTGGTTTGGGACAGGTTGATGGGGAGAGACAGTGATATCCATCTGCTACCCCATTGGAGACGCGGGTCCAGAGAAGGGTGGGAAAGGTGTGTCAGAGATGTAGATCTGAGCATCTTCAGCATAGAGGTTGTCAAGGAATAGTGTAGCTCTCCTGTAATGGCTATTCATTCCCCCCATGATGTGCTGGTTGGGATCCAACTGTCACAACATTGATAAAGACAACATATAACAACACCGTCAGTGGCATTCAGAGTTGTATTTCCAATTTCGGTGTTCCATTGCGATTTAGAGTCATGCAGAATGATGTCTATATCAGTGATGCTCTCTACAAGTGGAAGGTTTTAGGTTTTCAGAGGCATTTATCACTGATCAGTGGGTGTCTGAGCGCACCTGGAAAGTTCGCGTGTTGAACATCCTGCACCCCACCCCCCCACCCCCCGAGCTCTGCTGTAGCTGAGACAGGCTTCCCATTTGGTGAGTTGTCTTGCCTTCCACAATGCGTGCTGCAGGTATACCTCTACTTCTTCATTAGGCGAAGTAATAAGCATTTAACATATAAAATATTTGTTGCAACAACCAGAATCTCAGATACGAGTAGGTCATATTCTTAAATCCCTTGTTCCTTAAACAAAAATTATAATTGTGTTTTTCTTGTGATAAAGACTCTCAACTCCTAAGACTTTTGTCTTTTGAAATGGTTTTAATCTCAGACTCTTTCTAGCTGCCTTGGGCAGTGTAGGCATTATATATATATATATATATAATTTCCACCCCCTTGGGTGACAGTTTCTTTTTGCAAAGTTATCTCAGCCCATAACTGAGTTTTGATATTTTAAAGGCTGTTTGCTATCTTGGAAAAAAATTACGAAGATCAGTTTCTGAATTGTTTTACATTTTGAATTCATCAGTGGGAAATGAAAGAAGTCCTGGGCAGAGCCTTCAGTGTCATTCCAGGCTACCTTTCAAGTTATAGATATTTATGGAAAGAGAAATATAGCTGCAAAGAGTAATGCAGAAGCAAATATGAACTGGAATTCCTTCTCCACGCTCTCTACAGGCTTCTTCCACCGGGACTTAAAGCCTGAGAACCTCCTCTGCATGGGCCCGGAACTTGTGAAAATTGCAGACTTCGGGTTGGCCCGAGAAATCCGATCAAGACCCCCATACACAGACTATGTATCTACCAGATGGTAAATCCTCTTTCCTTAAAATTATTTAATTGCACCTTTTAAAATATACCATCATACTGAGGATAACATTAATGTCACATATAAGTAACTTTTCACTAAAGGTTTAAAAGCTTGGGCTGTACATCCTTTTAAAAGGAGGCCCGTGGTGCTTTTCCATGATATAAATAATATTTTATATTCAGCCCTAACTGAAGACCGTTTCCTAAAAGAGTTGTGTAGAAGATTCTCCAAAGACCTGCCTAAAAAAACCAGCTAACGACTATGCCGAAACTTTCAGACCCGAAGCATTTAAGCAGTTGGCCATGACCAAGAAGTAGCCTGCAGACAAGTTTTATGTTCTCTCTTTCTCCTGTTCTCTCTTCTTTCTCCTCACTCTCGCTCTGTGTTTCTCAACGATGCTGTACAGCAGAGTGCTGCAGAGAAATGCTCAATAGAAAATACCATGAAATAGAGAAGCACTACTTTATGACGGCATGCCAAGCCATCCTGAGTCCACCTATCACACGGAACTAGATAGAAATTAGAAATACAGGTCTCTCCCTGAGAATTGATGATAGTATTTCATTTAACTTCTGACCTGTAGCAGCACTAACCGGCAGTTCATCTCTGCCCCTCCAGGTACCGGGCTCCAGAAGTGCTCCTGAGGTCTACCAACTACAGCTCCCCCATTGACATCTGGGCGGTGGGCTGCATCATGGCCGAAGTGTACACCCTCAGGCCACTCTTCCCCGGGGCTAGTGAAATTGACACCATCTTCAAAATTTGCCAGCTGCTGGGGACACCCAAAAAGGTAATGATCCGCAACAAAAGCCTGGGGGCTGAAGCCATCAGCTTCCCTTCCCTCCCCCACCACCCTACTCCCCCCAACCCCCCCTCCTCTCCTGCACCCCGTGAGCCTTGCCCCTTTGGATCACCTGCCGGACCTGCAGTCTTTCTCTCGACCTCAGTGGTCCTTCCCTGCCCTTTCCGCAGTCGTGGCTGCCTCTGGCCCTCCTGCTCTTAATCTTAAGTACACGTGTTATAGCTCCCTCTGCTCTTCTCTCGGCCACCTCACCTCCCTTGCCGGGCTTCGCTATCCTCATGGCTACGACTCCTGCATCCATTCGGAAGTCTCCTAAGTGAAATCCCTCCTTGGAACTGCAGTCACATACCTAGACTACCTGTGAGATTTCCTCCCGACACCCTCACCGTCACCGTGGACTCAACATCTGACACAGATTGTGTTTGGCTGACCCCCAGCTAGCCTCCTTGCCCCGTTCCCCGTTCCTGGCCGCGCTCTCACCCAGAATCCCAGCGCCCCAGCCTTGAGGCTGGGTTTCAGTGTCACCCTCTCTCTCCCGTACCCTCCTTCCCCGGCCACAAATCCTGTTGACCTTGGCTGCACGGCTCTGGCCCGGGAGCCCCGCTGCCGCCAGCGCAGGCCAGCGGTGAGCCTCCGGCTGTGTCGGGGCGTCTTCCCAGTCCGCCTGCCCTCAAGTCCTGCCCCCCGCTTATCTTTCGCTCTGCAACCAGATCCCCCCAGCCAAACAGCAGCCCTGGTACGGCCCTCCCTGCTGAAAATACCCGTTGAGGCCCCACGCCCCAGCCTTCTTCACTCTCGCAACGAATCTCTCATGTGGTCCCCGCACCCTGCTGGCGCAGCCCTGGTGGCGCCCTGCGTCCCTGCTCTGCCCATGTGCGCTTTGCACCCCTGCGTGAATGTCCCATGTGACCGAAGTCCACCCTTTTTCCAAGGCCGCTCAGTAATTTACCTCCTCTCTGCTGCTCTGCTCTCATCTCCATTTCAGCTGTGTTCTGCGTTACTAATATCTTTATCCCTATACATCTCTGTGCCCTGGACCATAGGCTTGTGTTTATTGGTATTAATTTTCCAGGTCCTAGCACCATTGCTCGTACAGACTAGACCCTCAAAACATTTTAGATCATTTGAATAAATCATGAGTGCCACCTTTTCAAGATTTCCAGAGTCTTTTGCTGGAATCTTTACCTCCTCTGGATGCCTGTACCTCTCTTGTGACCCTCATCACTTTTTTTCCTCTGTATTATTGTGTTTTTAAATAAATGTCTTATTTTCTCTTTTTGGACAGTAACATCCTTAAGGGCAGGATCTATACTGGATTATTTTCGGATACCCAACAACACTAAACATATAGTAAGCACTCAATAACCATCTAACTGAATAAATGACATTAGCGATACGTAGTGCCACTTGACCTTAAAAAAAGATAAAAGCAATTATACCAGAATGTGTTTTGTAAAATAGTAGTGTTGGAACTAGAAGGGGCCTTAAAGATTATTTGCTCATCTTTTTCTGTATTACCTCCAGAATTTAGTGGGAATAATGCATGGAACAGTGGAGAGCTTGAGACTGAGTGGAACAGCTTTCTTTACTGCAGGACTTCTCCACATGGTTATTTTGAATGATCAAGATGGGGATATTGTCCTGCACCTGGGTGGTTCAGTCGTTAAGCGTCTGCCTTCAGCTCAGGTCATGATCCCAGGGTCCTGGGATCGAGCCCCGCATCGGGCTCCCTGCTCCACGGGAAGCCTGCTTCTCCCTCTCCCGCTCCCCCTGCTTGTGTTCCCTCTCTTGCTGTGTCTCTCTCTGTCAAATAAATAAATAAATAAATCTTTAAAAAAAAAAAGGGAGTTATAAAACCAGTTGGTGGCAAATTCAGTGTGTTTCCCACTGTTCCTCTGACTTCATGTTCTTTGTAGTTCCTCCATTAGCATCCTCTGTGTTTCATCGCACACAGTGCCGCTGTGAGTATGAGCACGGTAATGACATGATTGCTTTTCCGTTAGGGGTACATGGGCCACAATAGAAACTATCACAAGTCGGCTAAGCAAGATCTTCTGTGTCTTCCTTCTTTCAGACCGACTGGCCTGAAGGCTACCAACTCTCTAGTGCGATGAATTTCCGCTGGCCCCAGTGTGTACCCAATAACTTAAAGACCCTGATTCCCAATGCGAGCAGCGAAGCCATTCAGCTCCTGAGAGACATGCTCCAGTGGGATCCCAAGAAACGGCCAACAGCTAGTCAGGTTGTCTTCCATTTCCTTCTGTTCGATGCATTTCTTAGGAAGTTCATATCTGACTCTGAATAATTCCTATAAGTTTCATAGGAAGTATTTCATTTGGTATGATGGGTGAAAAATAGTATGAAATGCCACTAATGGTAATATTATATATAAAAACATAAAATAGTTTGAAACTTACTGTATATAGTTAAAGGTTTAAACAATACAGTTTCTTTGAAAATTGGCATACAGTTTCCCATCGCCACAGAGGAGGAAATGAAAATAAGCAGATATATCTACCCATCTTTGGAGAGTGTTTTCAAAGATATTCTCTAAGTTAAGATTACGGAGCAGTTTGCTTGTAAGGCAATACTGGTTGCCAAAAGGGAATTTGAAAATATCTTGTGAAATCCAGCTCCCTTGTTTCACAGCTGACACAGAGAGCGACAGACGAGATAGAGCTAGGATGATAAGTATCGTTAATACTTTATAGCACTTAATAGTTTGTAGATGCTTTAGTATGTTTTTACGTGATTTGAACCTATGAAGATTCTGTGAAATCAGTGGTACTATTTTCACTCTGTAAGTGAGAAAACTGAATCTCGGAAAGCTGAAGCGATTTCTCCTAATCATTCATCCAGCAACTAGTACAGACAGTGCAACCAGGCTGCAGTTCGATGACACAGATGGTGGGTCTCCTGCTTCATACCTCCTGTTTTCTCAACCTGCCTTCCCCTAGGTCACTTTGACCTGGATGATAAAATGCACCCAGAGACGTGGTAGAGCTATGGCCTCAGCCACTCCCATGCCTCTTGCAAGCCTCCCTCTGCATTAGCATGTCTGGCTCCTTCTCTGTGGCCCCGGTTGGCGGTTACATGGCTCAGAATGACAAAGGTGACCAGTTCTAATCAGAGACATGATTTGGCTAAACAAAAGTGACGGGGATGTTTGAAGATAGGGCTGATGTGATGTTAGAATTTGCGAGAACCAGAGAGACAATAGTTGGGGGTTAAGGAATTATGGAAAAGCAGCTCCAAAGGCTCAGAGAAGAAAGAGCCATAATTTGGTACCATGAGACTCTGGGTGGCCGGGGTTGGAAAACTCTCAGAAGTGCACTCCGGGGGATGAAATTCACAAATATCCTGAAGGCAGGAGAGAAGCTTTCTGACGAACCCAGTTTTTTAAAGGTTGTACCCAAGAGATGAAAAGAAAAAAATCTGTAGCAAGGAACCAAGAGAACAATGTGTACTTTTAAGAATAGCATCAGAAAAGCTAAAAACAGCCCCAGATCAGTTTGCAAAAATGCCTGGAACTACAGAGACTTTTCAAGTTAGATGCCAGGGTCCAGAACCGCTACCAGACTCTCCATGGTATCGCCCTCTGTGTCTACACTTACATATAATTATTACAGATGTTTATAACCCAGAGTTATTAAGAAAGGTTATGTTCTGTTTGGTGATTTCCATTCAAAAAGACTAGGGAATACAGGGAATATTTCAGAAAGAATTGTGAACCCAGCCCTTTAAGATTTATCCCCTGACTATCCGGAAAACTGGATTGTTCAGAACAACCAACAAGGTTTGTTAGTTGTTGTTGATAGCCAGGGTTTAACTTTATCACGTATTACATTCTTGGCATTCCTGGGGTAAAATACTGGCTCATTTTACACTTAATTCTTCAGAGTCTTCCAAGATTATTGTGTTTGGCTCTCATTTTTTTTTTTTCTCAGTTTTATATTATTTTTTTTTCTTTTTACGGGCTGAGGAAATTGGCTCAGAAAGGTGAAATATATTACATTTAAGACATATAGCAGGGGCACCTGGGTGGCTCAGTCAGTTAAGTGTCCAACTCTTGATTTCAGCTCAGGTCGTGATCTCAGGGTTGTGAGCTCAAGCCCCACATTGGCTCACGCTCAGCAGGGAGTCTGCTTGAGATTCCCTCTCTCTCCCTCTCCCTCTGCCCACCCCCCTCTCTCTCCCTCTCTAAAAAAAAAAAAAGATATATAGCAAGTAAATTACAAAGCCAGCATCTGACTGGGTATTGTGTAAGACTGATGAATCACAGACCTGTACCTCTGAAACCAATAATACATTATATGTTAATTAATTAAATTTAAACAAACAAACAAACAAACTATATACCAAAAATTAGGATTTGCCAGCACAGACCAGTATTTCTATGGCTCCATGATACAATGCATATGGAAATTATTTAAATATCCTTTAAATCTTTTAATGAGGTCTACTTATATTAAATGGAAGTTTCAAAGAAAAAAAAAAAAGAAAAAAGCCAGCATCTGTTGAGCCAGATACTTTTCAGAAGTAGCAAAGGTAATAGTACTATTACTGGCTGCTTTATCCAAATAATTTTAAATGTATACATTTTACATTTTAGATAAGGAAGCTCATACAGAGTATCACACATTCAATGCTGTTTTCTAGTTGGTTTAGGCTAAGAAGCTACAGTAAACTGGTCCCGTGAAGTGTAGCTCAGTGAGCCTGATGCTATTAACCTTCCTGGATAGACTTTTCTCCTAAAGCAGCCCTATGTATTATTCCAGGCTCTTCGATATCCTTACTTCCAGATTGGGCATCCACTGGGCAGCACCACACAGAGCCTTCAAGATTCAGGAAAAGCACAGAAGGATGTCCTGGAAAAGGCTGGCCCACCTCCTCACATCAAGCCGGTCCCCCCCACCCAGCCCCCAACCAAGCCACACCCGCGGATTTCTTCGAGACAACATCAAGCCAGCCAGCCCCCTCAGCATCTCATGTACCCCTTCAAAGCAGAGGCTTCCAGGACAGATCACCTGAACCATCTCCCGGAGGACAAGCCAAGCCCGTTGCTCTTCCCATCCCTCCATACCAAGAATCCTCCGTCGGTAAGCAGTGAAGATTTGCTAGCGAGACTTGTCTGGCCTGTTCCTCTTCTGACCCCACTGATTGTGTGCAAGATTTTCTTTTTTCAGCATATAAAGTCTAATTACAGTGACCGTTAATTACAGTAAATGTATCTTTGCAATATCGTGGAATAGTGAAAAGCGCTTTGGCCTTGGAGTTGAAGGTCTAAATTCAGGTTCTGGCTGTGTCTGTTCATATCAGTGCTGGTGGCAGGCACCTGCAGTATGGTGGTTGAGAGCTGCCTGGAGCGCTCACGGGGCCAGGCTCTCCAGTCTCAGCTCTGCCACTTCCTGGCTTCATGCCCCTGGGCAAGTTCCCTGGCCTCCCTGCTCCTCCTTCCTCATCTCTAAGATCGGGGTAATAATTGTATCTACCTAATAACAGTTCTTTTGGGGGACTAAATGAGTTAATACTTGAAAGAATTTAAAATAGTAGCTGACACTTCATCAGAACTTGATAAATGTTAGTCATTGTTATTATTAATCCCTGTGGATTAATGAGTTTCCTCATCTGTAAAAGGAAGATCCTAATGCCTGTCTTGCCCCCCAGACCAGGCTGTGCATGACAATAAAAGGTCCCGCTAATTGTGAAGATGTTTTGAAAAATCACAAAGTGCCATAATAAAATTTATAGATTGTTATTCCTATGAATGCTGTTAATGCTAGGCTGTTAATTGAGCCCAGATCTTTCTCCTTCTCTTGGACTGGTGCTCAAGAAAAAAGAATGAGTGTTAGATTCAATAATAACCTGAAGAGGGTATCTAGTTACCAGTAGCTTTGTAATACTGTCTGTCTGATTTTTCTGACAGCTTTATGCAAAGGCAGTATTTTTTCTGTCAACTCGTATTCATTCACTGAGTCCCAGCTCCCAACCAACACTGAGATACCGCATGAGGTTACCAGAGTGGTATCTTTAGACTGTTCGCTGTACCCCAGCCCACAACTTTGGAAACAATGTGTATTTGGAAATTTCCTATTGTAGCTAATTCTGTAATTAAATAGTATCCAGATCTACTAAGAAGGCAAAGAAAGCATATCTGCAGTGTTTTCAGTGAATGGCAGGATGACTGATATCTGAGCTGTATTCTCCTGCATCTCTGTTTATGACAGAATAAAGCATGTCAATGCTTTCAGGGATGAGGCCCAGATGACAACCTAGATATCCTCCCCATGTGTGAGAAGCACCTTAAATTTCTTTTTAGGGGCACCTGGGTGATGCAGTCAGTGGTTAAGTGCCGGACTCTTGATTTTGGCTCAGGTCATGATCTTGTGGTCGTGAGATTGAGCACTGCATATTTGCGCTCAGCGTGGAGTCTTCTAATGCTCTCTGTCCCTTCCCTCTCTCTCTTTCACTCTCTCTCTCAAAAATAAATCTATTTTTTAAAAAATTTCTTTTTAAAAATCCTTATCTTGTACACCTGAGTGTCCCTATAGGCTGCCAATGGGTGTGATGTGTGCAGGAGAGGTGAGAGACAGAGGCCCAGGAACGTACTTCCCATGGTTGCATGTTGAGAATGATATGTCCCCGGATCCTCCTTTTCATCACTGAGGAAATTTGGAATGGGGATTACTCATGGGTGAGCTCCATTAATACCAAGTATGACTTTATCCCCCACTCCTTGGATGCACAGAAAATGCTAGCTGGCCTGGAACACAAAAATGGGGAGATCAAGCCCAAGAGTCGGAGAAGGTGGGGGCTTGTGTCCCGGTCGACAAAGGATTCCGATGACTGGGCTGACTTGGATGACTTGGATTTCAGTCCGTCCCTCACCAAGATTGACCTGAAAAACAAGAATAGACAGAGTGAGGAGACTCTTTGCAGGCAAGTGTGCACCTGGGCTCTGTACACAGATCGAGTCTGGGGTTTGTGAAATGATCTGTACCTCTCTCATGATGCTTTCCGTCTCATGCTGATCTAAGCCATGTTCCCTTGCTTCAGATTTGAGAGTGTTCTGGACCTGAAGCCCTCTGAGCCCATCAGTACAGGCAGCAGCGCCCCCACCCAGACCTCCTATCAGAGGCGAGACACACCAACCCTGAGGTCTGCGGCCAAGCAACACTACCTGAAGCACTCACGATACTTGCCTGGTAATAGAAATGCTTGCCTTTACTTTCATCCTCAGAAACCATTTCCCCGGAATCACGTATTCACAGAGATTCTGTTTTGAAAGGCAAGTGCCCAGGGCCTTCTAGATCTTCAGAACTGGCAGGAACATTACAAAAATATTTGCTGAAGCCCAGGCCTCACATTTTATATATATATATAGTTGCGTAAGAAGAAATGTTGTAGTGGAAACTGGGTCTGGCCGCCCAGGAGGGAGGAACTGATGGTGAGAGCCAAGGGGCACTCCTGAGGCCCCTGCACCAGACCAGGGTTAGGAACAATGACCAGTCCTATGTACTCTCAGGAGACCGGGGTAGGTGCTCAGTCACACCACCTGGCAGTATTACAGGGGGTAAGTGTACATGCTCTAGTTTGATGGGTGCACAAGCCTCTCTCCAGATTCTCCCGATTCCAAGCTTACAGCACCAGCCAACCATTCATTCACAGATTCATTCAATCAGTACATACGTACTGAGCATCGAATGTGTCCGAGGCACTGGGGAAATCATGGTGAGCACAGTGGCCAAGTGGGACCACCGTCTATGCGGTGACTTTGTACCACAGCCCTGTAGACAATACTCTCGCCCCCGTGCAGCTTATATTCTAGTGGTGGGAGCCAGACCCTAAACAAATAGACAACCAGTAGTTCCGGCGGTGATTGGAGGCAGGGAGGAAGCACCGCTGTAGACAGAATGCTCAGGAAGGGCCTGTCTGAGCACGTGACTCCTGGCTGGGCCCCCACAGAATGGGGAGGGACAAATGGGCAGAACAAAGCAGGCAGGGGAAGCAGCAAGTGGGGAGCCTGGGAGGCAGGAAAGGGCTTGGCTTGTGAGGGGAAGGGCAGAGGGGCCGGCGTGGCCCGAGCGTGGTAAGAGGAGATATACGTAGCACGAGGCATCTTTGGGAGTCTTGTAAGACATTTGAGATTTATTTCACAAGCAGCAGGAAGCTGTTGAAGGGTTTTAATTGGAGAGCATGCTGGGTTCATGCCCATCTTCGTGCTGAGTGGATGAGGGCAGGCTATAGCTCTCGTGCAGGTGAGGGGAGTGGTGGCTCAGGCTGGGGCTGCAGGACCCACGGGACATGAGGTGGGAAGAAGGCCCCACTGGTGGATTGGCTCCTCACCCTTGGTTGGCCTCCCAGGATGACCTGGAAGAAGAGAGAGCAGGTAACAGGGTACAACAGTGGTCCAGGTGTCAGGGGCAGAAACCCCCAACTCCAGGGGCCACAGGCCAAAGGGAGCCAGCTGGGAGGGAATTAGTTATTTCTTTTTGGCTCTAGGAGAGGAAGGAGGATAAAAGATGAATTCAGTCTTTTCAGTTCTGAAAAATAGCTGCAGTGCTTGACATAAATGGGCAAGTGGGCGGTCTAGTGGGTGGGTTGGCTTGAGGTTGAGATGATTGATTAAGGTCAAGGCAGCCTTGGGCGTGAGGGAGTCCGTGAGGGTCACCAGCACTTGATGGTGCTCATGGTCCAGGTCAGGTATGAAGAGGGGTCTGGGGGACAGAATGCAGAAAGAGGAGAGCAGAGGGCTGCAGAGGTGGCCGGGCGGAAGGGGGGCAGAGAGGAACTTGGGAAGGTGACAGACAGGCAGTGGCCCATGCAGGGGTACCTGTGGGAAAGACCAGAAGCACTGACGCCCAGGATAGCACCAGAGGGGCCAAGAGAGAAGACGTGAGACAGATCTGTTGGGAGAAGTTTAGGAGACCTCTCTCAGGCTGCCCATCCTCTGGGCGTACTAAACCCCAGGTCGCCATCTTTCCTCCTTTCCTCTGCGTTCTATCGGACAACCTCATGGTCAGTTTTTGCTCTGACGATTGAACCATAGGAAGTTTAGACAAAGTGAATTCTGGGATGAGTTTGCCACTGAAATCTGGTGCAAGACGAAATAATGTATTTTGCATTTGAAAATCATTTCTTCCCTATTAGGAATAAATATGAGAAACGGCATACTTCCAAATCCAGGCAAGGATTTTATTCCATCTAATCCGTGGTCTAGTTCTGGTTTGTCTGGAAAATCTTCAGGAACAGTATCAGTAATCAGCAAAATAAATTCCGGTGAGTAGTGATTATTAACTCCTAAATGACAAGAGGCAAATTCTCTGGATGCGGCAGGGTGGGTCCGGAGAGACAAGCTAACGGAAATGAGAGGATTTTCTGGGGTGGAAACCCAGGGCCCCTTTTTCAAGGCCATGCTCCTGTCTCTTTCTTGGCAGCAGGCTCTGGGGACCCAGCCAGCTGCCGCGGGGTCTGCCCTCAGCGTAGCTGGGGAGCCAGGCACCTCTGGCTTCCGAGGCCCTGTGCTGCTGGCCATCCAACTTAGCTCCATCTGCCTTGTACATCTCATCCCCTCCCTCTGATGACCCAGCCTTAGTCCAGAGCATCGAAAAACCTCTTCTGGTTGGAAGGTGGACAGCTCAGAGGGCCATCCCCACTTTTTTTTTTTTCTCATCCCCACCTTTTTTTAAAATGAGAAATGAGTTTCATAAGCCTTCCAGACGGGCTAACCCCATTCCCAGCAGGCCCCTTTCCCGCCTCATTTTCCCTCACACAGGCAGCCCCTGCCATGCATTGCTTCTCTTTCCACACTGCCAGGGAAAAACATCTGGGCGTCCCTTCTCCCGGCTTTATCCATTACACGTTCATTTATTTTGAGAAATACAAAAAAGAAGGAAATGAGGTATCAACAGCCATGTACCCACCACCACCAGCTCAAGGAGTCAAACTTTGCGAATACTCATGAAGCCCACCGTCTAGGCCTTCCTACCCTTTCCCTCCTTCCCCCTCTCCTTCCTCCGACCCCCACCTGATTTGAGTGTTTATTATTTCTATGCATTTTTAAAAGATTCATGAACCACACAGTATGTTCTTACATGTTCAAAAATTAGTACAAACATAATTCTGGATCTCCACTCCTTTTAGTAATTATGATATAGCAATTACACATACATGTAAGACATATCATAGTATATATTATAAAACATATATAACATATATCACTGTATCATCCCATAATTTATTACTTTTACTGGACCATAATGTATTTATCCTTCTCTTCTTGATGAGCGTGTAAGTTGGGAACCATCTTTGCTGTGAGGAGGAGTGTGGAAATGAACCTCGGTGTACCCTCTTGCCGCGCACCTGCGTGAAGGTTTCTCTGGGGATAATGTAAACAGGTTAAAGGGTGTGCTCATCTTTGACTTTACAGATGTTGCCAAATTGCTCTCCGGCAGGGTCTGGGAGTGGTGCTGCATCCTTGATGGCACTTGGTACTGTCGAGATTGCAAACTGTGTGCTGGTCTGATGGGTGTGAGACGTCATCTTGTTGTGACTTCAACTTGCATGTCCTGTGTACTAATGAGGTGGAGCATCTTCTCGTGTGTTCACGGACTATACGTTTTTCCCCGTTTGTGACTTAACCTGTTCAAATTCTCTTCCCATTTTTTTTTTCGTATCTCTTCACCAAAAATGCAGAATGTGCCCTAGCACAACACAGCCCCTTACCCAGGCATTGCCACTCTGCCACACATTCTCTCTTTTCCCCCCGATATAACTTCCATTTGTATAACGGCCTGTAATAACGTTGTTCCTCATTCTGTGTGTACCTGAAGTCTTAATGAGGCTTATCGATCTCTGTTCATCCATCCAATATGTATTGATTACTGCTACATATAAGGCATCTCATTAACCTCCTGGAATAGTAAGATGAGTCGCATACAGTTCCAGCCCTTAAAACACTCTCATTATGAAAATGTCATAAAAAATGAATATATTTAATATAAATCATTACTTTTTCTGATTACAGGCCAGAGTATTTAGCGTAGAATTATTTGTCATAACTAAATAATGTTTTTAAAGATTTGATTTATATTTGACAGAGAGAGACACAGCAAGAGAGGGAACACAAGCAGGGGGAGTGGGAGAGGGAGAAGCAGGCTTCCCACGGAGCAGGGAGCCCGATGCGGGACTCGATCCCAGGACCCTGGGATCATGACCTAAGCCGAAGGCAGACGCTTAACCGACTGAGCCACCCAAGTGCCCCCATAGCTAAATAATTAAGATCACCTGTGTACTGCTCAGTAAGAGAACAGTTCGCTGAATTATGGTTTAGCCAGATTCTAGAATTTGTATATACTGACATGGAAGGATAACTATTCTCTGTTACAGCGTGGAAAAAGCAAATTTTGGAACAGGCTAAACCCGTTATTCCAAAAAAGAAAGAAAAATGCATATGTCCCTTTTCTTTTCTTTTAAAGATTTTCTATTTATTTATTTGACAGAGAGAGACACAGCGAGAGAGGGAACACAAGCAGGGGGAGTGGGAGAGGGAGAAGCAGGCTTCCCATGGAGCAGGGAGCCCGATGTGGGGCTCGATCCCAGAACCCTGGGATCATGACCTGAGCTGAAGGCAGGCGCTTAACGACTGAGCCACCCAGGCGCCCCGCACATGTCCTTTTTCTTGAACGAACCAAGCATCCAGGCTCCGTTCAGGCGCAGGGTATAGGAGTGGCCCTGTCTTTGCTGCCCCCCTTCCCCGTCTTTCCGACAGTGTGGTGTGGAGGAATGCTCTGCTCGCAGTTCACTGTTTTTATCGTATTTCCCCCTAAAAGTAAATGCCCAATTCTTTATTGTTCCGCACCCGTGTAACCCTGTTGGTGTTATGTGCACGTGGGGTCTTTGTAGTAATGAGCTTTTGCTTTTGTGAATCAGTTGGTTCCAGTTCAACAAGTTCTAGTGGACTGACTGGAAACTATATCCCATCCTTTCTGAAAAAAGAAGTTGGTTCTGCTGTGCAGAGGGTACACTTGGCACCTATTCCAGACCCTTCTCCTGGTGAGTTCTGTTTTGGGCTATTCATGAAGCGGCTCATCAAACGGTCCTCGAATAATGGCTTTGTGCCAGGCATGTTGTAGGCCGAGGACCCACCAACGAAGGAGACCGACAAGACTCCCTGTCCCACGAACTTACACCCCACACACAATAAGTAAACCGAAGCAGATGCTCACCAGTGCTGAGGAGAAAAATGAAGTAGGCGGGATATAAGGAAGGTGGAAGTTGGAGTGTGCGTTTTTAAAGAGGGAGGCCAAACCATAAGAGAATCTTAATCTCAGGAAACAAACTGAGGGTTGCTGGAGTGGTGCGGGGTGAGAGGGATGGGGTGGCTGGGTGATGGACATTGGGGAGGGTATGTACTATGGTGAGCTGTTTTTGTGTAATTGTGAATTGTGTAAGACTGATCAATCACAGACCGGTACCCCTGAAACAAATAATACATTATATGTTAAAAAATAATAATAATAATTAAAAATAAATAAAATAAAGAGCGTGGCCAAAGAAGACCGCACCGCAAAGGAACTGTTGAGTGAAGGTGTGAAGGAGGTGAGCGGGTAGCCCTGCGGTGTGGGTGAGACTGCCCCCAGCACTGGGTTCCTAGTGCATGGGCCTGGAAGCAGGAGAGAGGGGTAACCGAAGGTGGGGTGGTATGAGGCCCTGCAGGCCACCGTAAGCTTGCTGTCACTGACTGCGTGGGACATGGGAGCCAGCGGAGGGTCTGGAGAAGAGGCGAGAGGCCATCTGACTTGCATCTTGCAGCCTCACTCACATGCAGGTTGTCATTAGGCTGGGGGCCGGGAACAAGGTTGGAAGCAGGGAAACCAACTGGCTGCCAGAATTATCCAGGCAGGGAGTGATGGGCCAGGCTGCTGAGAGCTGAGCTGGGCCGGGTTCTGAGTGTATCTGGAAGGGAGAGCCAGTGGCATTTGCTGACCCATGACACGTGGGCTGTGAAAAAAGAGGGGTCAGGAATGACACCACTATTCTTGGCCGGACAACACTAGAATAGAGTTATCCTTCAGCGAGAGAGGGAAGACTGTGAGTCGCCCACCAGTGCTTCTCTTGAACTCCCATTTTCTGATATTTTTGTCGCCAAGCTGCATTTATTTCCTTTGTTTGCGGGAGTCCCATATCAGTCCGACCCACCTTCCTCTTTAATTGCAGGCTATTCTTCCCTGAAGGCTGTGAGACCTCATCCCGGACGACCTTTCTTCCACACCCAGCCTAGAAGCACTCCCGGGCTGATGCCCCGACCTCCAGCTGCCCAGCCAGTGCATGGCCGGACCGACTGGGTTTCTAAGTACGCGTCTCGGCGATGACCAGCATGAAGCTTCTGGGCTCAGGGGAAAGCAAGACACGGTCCCTCGGCCAACTGGTGTTCTGCCGGCAAGAAACCGGCAGATGGTGTGAAAGCAAACACTTTATAGTTACTCTTCTGAACTAAGACATTTCAATATTCTTTTTAAGATTTTTTTTAAATATTGATTTGAATGCAATACCCTTTTTTTGTACAAAATTATTTTATTCTAAAACTGGGTCCCATTATTTTCTTAAACAGCGCATTTTGTATATATGGATTATGTTTTAGCATTTTATACAGTCAACTTTGTAATGAACTTTTTAAGAATTAATTGATTTTCCTTTGGGGTTCCAGATAATATTTTATACAGATTTTTAAAAATGTAATAATACTGATGCAGTATTGCAGCAGGGGTGCAATTGAAGGCCACCCGATAGAGGGTTATTTACTCAACGCGGGCAGATATTTGTGAAGCGGTTAAATTTTAAATGTGGCACGCTGGTACTTCAGGCTTTCTTGGACCAACCTCAGCGCTAGATAAATGATCTTCTGCTTTTCTCGATATCAGGTTATTGGTTTGATTTTGTGACACCACTGTGCTGTTCTAAAAATACTATTATGCAATGAATTTCCCAGCTGGAAGAACTCTAAATAGTTTTTGAAATTTTTACAACAACCCTTTTTGGTGGTTGGAGATATGCAAGGTGGTTGGAGATATGAACCAGGTTTTATTACGCTGGACCATCACATTCTATTTTCTCCCGCTTTTTTTATGTTTCCTCCATTTTTGAAATCCAGTTGTATAAGTACCCCCAAAAGGGAAGCCTTTGAAGCCAACAGGTCTTTAACATAAAGGTCAACACAGTCCGTTAAACTTGTATCCCTATCAAGATGCACGACCAAAAAGCTAAGTTTCAAAGCAGCAGAAGATTTTGTTATTATAATAACTGATCAACTTTTGCATACAGCTCAGTTCTCCAGGCCTGGCTAGGAACAGACGACAAAGAACCTTCTGTCCTAACCACATTCTCAGGGCACTTTGGGGAGCAGGAAAGATTTATGGGAGAGGTTCCACTGACCTGGGAAGTCCCGGCTACCACGAGGGTCATGTCGGTAGCGTGCCACATTTGAACTCTTAACCCTTGTGTAGTTTCTTCACACAGTGGGAACTCTATTTGTTGGACAGAGGCTGTTCCATTGAGAGGAATGTTTACAGCAATTTTGAAAATGACAAAGCTAGTTTGGAGACAGAAAAAGACAAAAGGTCCGCTCTTCGTCCATCTCTGTAGGGTACGTCTGCCTCCAGCAGTGGTTACCTGAAAGGCAGGAGGGAAGGTCTCCGCCAGGGAACACGATACGAACTCAACAGTGTGTTGACTCACATTCTCCCTGGCCCCAAGCTACTCTCATTTGGTTCCAGGTTCCAGGATCTAGCAGGTTGAGCCATATGAAATTGTCTGTCATTTCTGTAGGGTAAAATGATAGATTAAAGTGAATATTGGCACTTTGGTATGATTCAACCCAATATGTGGGTAAATTATTGCTTTGATGTATTGGTAGTAAGTTGCAGCCTGAACAAATTGCCATGGCTCCCAAGGGGCCCTAATCTAAATCAGGGAGTAATTTCTGCTTTGGAGAATCTGGCACAACAATGTACTTGACCAAGCACTATGATCCCTAGGGGCATGAGAAAAGCACATAATGGATGTGGATTTGATAGGTAATATTTTCTGTTAACAAACTGGCAGCAAAGCTTCAGAAAACAAATATGTATATGTAAGCACAACTTGAAGCTGAGTTCACTTCTGTATTATATTCTCAACTCATTATCTAAAGCAACAGAAAATGTGTTTTCAGAGATGAGTCCTTTACTGCAATTAATATTTATTTTCCCTTTCTGTATTATATATAAAAAGTAAGTTAATCTGTAACCTTACCCAGCTTGCTGGAAAGCTGGTTTTAAATTGTAAATACCTCTTAGAGAAGCGAATGGATTGTGAATACCATATTCTTGGCACTCTAGCTTATGTTAAGGTCATGACATTTTTTAAATTGAAAAAACCTAGTCACCTGGTTATTACACATTATAAAATTGTTTTTGTAATACTTTTGTGGGCCCAAATTCAGAAAATATTTCCGTTTTCGTCCTCTTACTTTTTCCTTTATTTATGAGTAAACAACTTCTCTTAGAAAGCCAAACATGCTTATCCATGTGAAAGTCGAGAAGCTGATGTGCAGTTGAGAAAACCAGAAGACTGAAAAAACAATGTAAATTCTAAAGAACCAGCAAAATCCTAGAAAGTTCTCTTTTTTTTTTTTTGCCCCCCGTAATGGGTAAAGGACGAATGTGTATACATGCTGTTTACTATAGAAGGGAATCGTGACCATTTTTTGTTAAGTGAAAATCAAATGCTACCTGGAGTGTATATCTTTTAGTTAGTAGAGAATTATACGATGTACCATAAGACACCAAGAGGAATGAAAGCGTTTCACTGTACCTTATCCATGACTATACCTCATTTCCGGTCAGAGAGCTTTTTGGGACGTCGGGAAATGGCACAGGGATGGCTCTCACTGCACACCCAAAGGTCCAGTGATAGTGCTGTGCCGGGGGTACATGTGTGAACTGCAAGGCAAGCTGCGTGGGCAGAAGAGCTACTCTTGGTGTGATTGTTCATCTTACAATAAAATTCCATTAATTACTAAGCACTCACCCAGCTCGTGCATGATAGGGTTTAAGTAGGAAGAAAATGGATTTTCAAACAGTTTTTTTTGGACACCTCTCTTAGATAGCCTAAAGGACTGTATACATATAACTAATTGACATTGTGTCATCTTCTGACGTTATCAAAAATCGAATACAATCAAGGTAACGCCTAAGTACAAATACCAGTACTGCTGGGGCTCATGGGCACCACCTTTTCTCGTGAAGTGGTGTTTCCCTGCCATCGAGCCATCGTCTTGTGCCATTTAGGAGAAAAGGAACACAGGCTGTATGTTCCAGCTCAGTGTATGACCAAAAGCAATACGTTTATAAGAAAATGTTTGACATGCTAATTATTTTATATCATTTAAAGCATACTATAGCAACTCGTTTGTTCAATATATGTGCTTAATTTTTAGAATTATTTTTACAAGTTCCAACCAAAGTACTGTATTTTATATAACTTATTGTGAGGACCCTCTCATGGAAACTATTAAGAAGACAAACTGGAGGCAAGCATCACATCAATCTGTATTATCAGTTTCTTAGAGACACTGTGCTAATGTGAATTTGAAATGACCCAAACAGTCTTCTGATCTCAGATGTCTTAGTACTGATAGCAGTTTAGTCACCGGATTTGAATCCAAGGAAATAGCTGAGAATATATTTATTTAAAAAGCAAATATTCATAATGATGAGAATAGAGGAGGACAGAAAACCACTGACACAAGCCCCTTCTGAAATAAAACACTGTGTTTTGAATAGTTTGTCCGAAGGTGTTTAAAAACATTAACTTTATGTAAGGAAAATTCTGCTCCAAATAAAGTTAACAGTTAAAGAAAGAAAAATGATTGGAGTGTTCCCTTTTTATTTTCAGTGTTCTTCCATCAAAAGATAACAGTGGGGCTCCTGGCTGGCTCAGTTGGTAGAGCATGCAACTCCTGATCTCAGGGTTGTGAGTTCAAGCCCTGTGCTGGATGTAGAGATTACTTAAAAATAAAATCTTTAAACAACAAGATAACATTCGTATTTCCTAATGTGGGAATTTGGTATTTTATAACTTCTTAATGCTTAGTTCATACAGTGTTACTGCCATGAAATTAGAAGAATGAGCTTAGAGCAGCAATGTAAAGAGTTATCCTGTAATCTGGAGACTTTATTTTATTTTATTTTATTTTTGAGGCTTTTTTTGTTTTTTTAAAGATTTTATTTATTTATTTGACAGAGAAAGACACAGCGAGAGAGGGAACACAAACGGGGAGTGGGAGAGGGAGAAGCAGACTCCCCGCCGAGCAGGGAGCCCGACACGGGACTCGCCACCCAGGCGCCCTGAGGCTTTTTTTAAATTTAGCATTTAGCAAGTTAGGTGACTAGGAATATTTAAAAAAAGAAAAAAGTAGGTGGAGGGGCGCCTGGGTGGCTCAGTTGGTTAAGCGACTGCCTTCGGCTCAGGTCATGATCCTGGAGTCCTGGATCGAGTCCCTGGATCGAGTCCCACATCGGGCTCCCTGCTCGGCAGGGAGCCTGCTTCTCCCTCTGACCCTCCCCCCTCTCATGTGCTCTCTCTCATTCTCTCTCTCTCAAATAAATAAATAAAATCTTTAAAAAAAGAAAAAGAAAAAGAAAAAAGTAGGTGGAGACGATTTCTTGTTGCCGATTTCATCTTGCTTCATAATTAATACCTACCTTGTATGTTTTCACCTCTTCACAGCATACTCATGCACAATATAAACCTTCAAACGAAACTCATCACGTCATGAATTACATACAGGATTCCACAGGAAAGTCACTTCCCAAACATTCTTTGGATCCTCGAAAGAATTTTTTAGGAACACAATTTACCCAAGGGGTACTGCTGAATCCCTAAGTGTGCCCTCCCATCAGAACACAGCTGCCCTGACTATGAACTCGACAGCATTTGTCTAACTTCCTGGAATCATCTGCCCACCCTGCCCCTTCAGAGGCCCTACAGATCTGAGCTCCCGCCATCCTTCCTGCTAATAAAATCTGCTGTTGGGGCGCCTGGGTGGCTCAGTCGTTAAGCGTCTGCCTTCGGCTCAGGTCATGGTCCCAGGGTCCTGGAATCGAGCCCCGCATCGGGCTCCCTGCTCTGCGGGAGGCCTGCTTCTCCCTCTCCCACTCCCCCTGCTCGTGTTCCCTCTCTCGCTGTGTCTCTCTGTCAAATAAAAAATTAAAATAAAATAAAATCTGCTGTTGGGGTCTCCCACGTAGAAGCAGATTCCTGGCTCTTCTCCTGGGTGGGCAGCAGGTTCCGAGGTGGCCTGGGCACCAGCATGAGTGTGGTTGGAGGCTACAGCGCGGCTATGGAGGGCACCACAGCTGTCCCCAAACGAGAGCCTGATGAGCCCTCTTAAGCTGGAGGTGAACCCCAACACCCAGGCCGTGGGCACTCAGGAGAAGATCATCAAAACCCTCCCCAACAGGTTTGCCTCCTTTATGGACAAGGTGCAGAAACTGGGGCAGCAGAACAAGACCCTGGAGACCAAGTGGAGCGTCCTGCAGCAGCAGGAGATGGTTCAGAGTGACATGGACAACACGCGGAGTGCTTCGTCGGCAACCTTGGGCCGCTGCTGGACACAGTAGCCCGGGGAGAAGCTGAAGCTGGAGGTGGAGCGTGGTGACATGCAGGGGCTGGCGGAGGACTACAGGAATAAGCAGGAGGAAGAGATCAGAGAGCGTGCAGAGATGGAGAATGCATCTGCTCTCAGCAGGAAAGCTCTGGATGAAGTTTACATGAATAAGGCAGAGCTGGAGTCCCGCCTGGAGGGTTCAGCCTGAGAGATGGGCTTCCTCAGGCCGCTGATCTCCGACACCTCTGCGGTCCCCTCGGTGGACGACAGGAGCTCCCTGGACAGGACGGCATCACCGCCAAGGTCAAGGCCCAGCCCGCACCAGGGGATCGCCAGCGGCAGCTGCAGCTACAGCCAGGCCGAGACTGAGAACGCGTACCTGATCCAGTACAAGGGGCTGCAGACACTGGCTGGGAATCACACTGATGCCCCCCAAAGCGCGAAGACGGAGATTTCCGAGATGAACCGCAGTATCAGCCGACTCCAGACTGAGATCGAGGGCCTCCAAGGCCAGAGGGCTTCCCTGGAGGCCACCAGAGCTGATGCTGAGCGGCGCGGGGGAGGGGACCATTAAAGACGCCAACGCCCCGCAGCTAGCTGAGCAGGAGCTGGTGCAGCAGCTGCCCGAGAACAGAGGGCTCAGGGACGTCAGGCTGGCCCTGGTCCCCGAGATCGCCACCCGCGCACGCTGCTGGAGGACGGCGAGAGCCGGCTGGAGTGTGGGATGCAGAAGGTGAATGTTCATACCAAGCCCACCAGCAGCTACTCAGGTGGGCCGAGCTTGCCTCCAGGGGCTTCAGGGGCCTTGGCCTCTGCTACCGACTGAGCTCCTTCTAGTCCAGCTTTGGCTCTGGTGGGCGCTCCAGCTCCTTCGGCAGTGCCAATTCCTCCAAGGCCATGCTTGGTGAAGAAGGTCAAGACCCGTCATGAGAGGCTGGTGTCCGAGTCATCGGATGTCCTGTCCAAGCAAGCAGCCTCTGTGGTCCCTCCCAGTCTCCCCCATCCTGTGCCTGCCATAGAGCCTTTGGGGGAATGAGCTGTGCAGGGGAGCACTGGGAACAGGAGACCCACCTAAGACTCAGCCCCAGTTCTCAGCTTACCCTTGGGGGGAGTCTACCGCCCTGGGTACCCCCTCTTGCCCATGCTTCCAACTAAAAGCCCATTAAAGTGTCTTTTCTAAAAAAAAAAAAAAGCCTCAGGGCACTGGCTAGCTCAAGTCAGCAGAGAGTTTGACTCTTGACTTCTGGGTTGTAAGTTGGAGCCCCAGGTTGGGTGTAGAGATTACTTAAAGATAAAATCAAAATAAAATAAAAAATAAAATAAAATAAAATGCTTCAGTTGGTTCAAGTTAGTATGATGTGGGAAACAAAGGCAGAAGAAAAATTATTAAATTTCCTTACTACCTAGAGCCCACTGACAAGTCCTTGAAATAGGCAGAGTGACATTCCTCTAGGGACTCAACTGCCTCAATGTTAATACTTTGTTAAGGGCAAAAGGCAATCCTAGCCTGAACACCCCCCCCCCCCCCCACACACACCAGGATGCTGTAAATCTACTTTAATGTATAAAAATTCCTTTGGAAACTTCCTTTATCTCTAAACCCCCCAAGATACATGTTGGCAATCATCCCCCAAGCATATGGTCCACCGATACACATCTGAAGGGTCTCATGACTGGAGGTTTTATTAGACGGTAATAAATGACCTTTTCCCAACAATAGCTAGCCCCCTCAAGGTCCTAGAAACCTTGCTTCCAAAATTCCTTAGAGACTTACGCTATCCCTAACCCCCTCCCAACTTGAAAGTATATAA